TCTATTTTGGAAATTTTTCCTTGGGTTGATGAAAAGAATGTGTATTATATTGCTGTTAAATGGAAAATTCTAGAGATGCCTGTTAATTTCCTTTGATCTATCTTGTAATTTTATGTGCCTTTGTTGATTTTTTTGGTCTAGTGAGAATCTGTTGGTGAGAGTATTATTGTATTGGAGTCTATCTCTCCCCTTGTACCTGGTAATGTTTGTTTTACAAAATTGTGTGCTCCAACATTTAGTGTTTATTATCATTATACATTTTTGATGAACTTTTCCCTTGATCAATATTTTAAAGCCCATTTTCTCAGATGTATGTATAATTATTACTACCACCCTCATTTACTTGTAATATAATTTCCCTCCTTTTACTTTAAATCTATGTTTGTCCTTGCAGGTGAGGTAAATTACTTGTAGGTAACATATTGTTGGATCCTGCTTCTTAATTTACCCAGCCCAATTGTGTCTTCCACTAAAGAAATTAAGATCATTTACATTCAGGGTTATTCTTGTTGCCAACTTATTGCTTTTCTTAAGATTGTTTTGAATATTCTGTGTTCATTTATTTTTTCACTTATTCATCTCAGAAGATGGATGGTTGAGTGTACTGATAATATTTGATTCTTTCCTATTTTTCATTTTTGTGTCTAGTCTTCTAGTAGAATTTGTTCTTTCATATGCTGTCATAATTGTGCCCTTCTTTCTTTCTCTTCTGGGTGTAGAAGTTTCTTAAATATCTTTTTATCTGCTAGTGTTCATGAATTCCTTTATTTATGTTCTTCTGGAAAGATCTTTTTTCTTTCAGGGTTTTTTTTTCCTTCAAAAACTTTAAATACATACCTTTAGAGTTTTTGCCCCAAAATCCAATTTTAGTCTAATGTCTGCCTTTAAAGGCAACTTGATGCTTCTCTCCAGAAGATTTTGTTGTTCTTTTCTTGTCCTGCACTTTTGGCACTTTAACTATAGTATCCACAGAAAGATAACTTTTCTTTTCATGAGCACTTGGGTTTCTAAATGCCTCCTGTACTTTAATGTCCTTGTCTATCCCAAGATTTGTGAAACTTTCTGCCAGTATTTCATTGAGTAGGTTTTCTTTGCTATCATTCTGCAACTCTTCTCACTTGTCTATTCGGATTACGTATATTTTGGTCTTTTAATGATATCCCAGAGAATATGTACACTCTGTTTATTCTTTCTTATTTTTTTCTTTACCACCATCTGGATATGATATTTCATTAGACATGTCTTCAAGTTTTGATATTCTTCCTTCCATTCACTCTAGTCTATTTGTGAGGCTTTCAACTGAGTTTGTTTTTTAAAATTTGAATAATTAAACTTTACATTTCTAAGATTTCTGTGATTCTTTTTTATAGTCTTTCATTTTATTAAAAATTTCATTCACATCCTGCATTATGTTACTTGATTCATTCAGTTGTCTATCTGTATTCTCTTGGAATACATTGAACTTTTTAAAAAAGTTTTTTAGTATTTTATTTTATGTATAAAGAACGATCATGTTCTCTTTCATTGGGAAATCCATTCGAGGAAGATCACTTAGTCCAATTTAATGAAGTCTGAATCATTCGCATACTGACAGAAACACTGCCAGCACATATTGAGGCTGTATTTCCAGATCAGACCTGGCGGGTTCGAGCATCCGCAACAAGAGAGAGCTCCTTAGCCGAGTTTTCACGGCTTGGCTCCAGTAGAGCTGTTGGTAACCCATCTTGCATTCAAGGGTGCAAAGGTACATTGAACTTTAAAAAAAAATTATTGCTTTTAATTCTTTATCAAGAATTTCAGTCACTTTCATAATTACTGTGGTAATTCTGAACTTTAGGTGATGACATATTCCCTTGTTTTCTTTTTTTTTTTTTTACCTTGGGTACTGTTTGTTGTTGTTTTGTTGAGTATCTTCAGTTAAATTTCATACTAGATTCCCTAGTTTAATATCCCTGTAGCTTCTTTATGATTTTTGTTTGTTTGTTTGTTGTTTTTTAGTTCAGAATATATTTCATTGAGGTTGCAGAGACCTCCTGTCTCTGCATCTCTTGAAGGAATGGGAACCCTCTGGTTCTTCAGGAGATATGGTGTTGGCAGCAAAGTATATGGGTTGTGCCCTCTGTGATTACTCCTGTTATGGGTAGCCCCTATCGTGGGTTAGAAGTTTACATAGGTCCTGCTTACAATAGCTCTAGTACTTGAAAGTGATTCTGATACTGGTTCAGTTGCATTGAAGGGTCCAGAACTCTTGTCCTATGACTGGAGACTTTTATAGATCTAGTTGCTTTATGGGAGAAGCAAGTGCTAGAAATCTATCTCCCCCTCTGGGGGACTCACCTTCAGACTTATCAGCTCTAGGCAATCTGATCTGTGCAGATGCAACCAATGTAGAGTATCCACATCCATCAGCATCATACACCACTTTGTTTTCTCTTTATGCTGCTGCTGTGGAGGTAGCTTCCATCTATCTATACCCATCTGGGGCAGGTTGACCACTAGAAGCTCATGTATCCCATTTTTTTTTTAAATAGAATTGTCCTTTAGGGTTTCAGTGGGACTGATTTTGGCTGAAGCAAGGTTTAATTCTTCTCATCTGATCTGTGAGGAAGCTCAAAGGCAGAACACCTACCCAGTGGCATGAAGCCCTAGCACTGGAAACACACACACATACAATTTAAAAATAAAAATATATAAGAAAGAGAATGAAGAGGGAAAATAATAGAAATCAAAAGTAAAAGAAAAAAAGGAAAGTGGGAAAGAAAAGAAAAATCCAACTAAAGAATGAAAAATAAGAAAATAAAACTGAGAAATAAGAAAGCAATCATAACAAAAGATAGAATAGTCAGAGGGAAAAGCAAGTAAAAAAAAATTCTTCTAATTGAGGTGCTTTGAATACCTTTCTCTGGGTCTCCTAAGAGGGTAATCTGCTAGGTATGAAGGTGGGTAATGGGTTGTAGCTGCAGCTCATTTTCCTTCCACTCTGGTCTTGCCAAACTAGCTGAGGCAGAATGAGGGCTGTATCCTGAAATTACATGTTAAGATAATGTTGACTCAGTCCAGGGTATTTTCTCTCCAGACGCTTTTAGTCTGTGCACCTGGGGCATGGCTGAGGTCCAAGCTGCTGTGAGCCCATATCACTGACGGAGTTTTGATGAATATGAAACCCACTGGATATATATTTGCTCTGGGTGATTTTAGTCTGTGCATGCACCCAGAGGCATGGCCAATTTCATGATTATAGCAAAACCTTTTTCACCAATTGAGATGTGGTAGAATGTGATTGCACTGGGTGGGCATATATTAGTCCTGAAGGGTTTTAGTAAGTGCACCTGGGGGCGTGGCAAATGAACAAGACATAGCCAATCCCCAGAATGTCTCCAAGGATTGCAAGGGCAATTGAACCCCACCAAGTTCTGTGTTTGGGGGAGGCTGTGTTTGAGTGATTTGCCAGCCCTGATTGTGGCACTTTCAGACTTGTTCCCTGCTTGAAGCAACACCATTGCTGAACAGCTATGCCCTCCTCTCCACTCCCCTTTTCCTTGCAGCCTGTGCTCCCTATAAAATAAAGCTCTCAGTGAATTTGTGTCAAGGAATCTCCCCCAAGCTATAACTGTCCTGTATGCCTCTCATCTACCCAAAGTGGCCATGTGTCAAAGTGGTTCCTGAGATGTGATTATGCTGTTTTACGATCCCCAAAGCAGTTTAGTCCTTAACAGCAGAAACTTCCTTAAGATGATTCCTGGCTATAGCACTCTGAGAGAAGCAATTTCTTCTTTAAAGATTGTTTGTTGTGTAGACTTCATGTAGCCAATTTATTTATTTGTAGGGTGCAGTTTTCTGGGCTATACTCTTTCTCTTTCATCTCTGCCCCCATTAAGGGAAGAGTCCCCTTTCCCCAACCTAGAAGTGTTGCCAGGAGCTGGGATATTCCACTTTTCTTGTTTTGTTACTCTCTTTAGTCTTGGAATCTACCAAGTTTCATTTCCTGGGCCATCATTTTCCAGTACTAACCCATAGCCCCTTATCTCCATGAGAAGTTCCATCCTGTGGAGGAGCAAACCATTGCTGGTGTCTCTATATACCACCTTCTGTCTCCACCTGAATTTTTATTTGAACAATTATGTTTCTTAATGTCCAGGTTTTTTATTTGTTCTTTCTTTACCCACCTGATTTATTCTTCCCCATTCTTCATTTTTATGTCATTTATTTCTCCATTGTTATATGTTTTTGAACATTCTGAAGTTGTTTACTATTTTCTGGTAATTATTAGACCTTCTATGACATAACTTATATTTGATGGTTTTGAATTTTTTGGTATTAATTTTCTCTTGCTATATTCCAATTTAATTGCTATATATTTGTAGCAGAGGGATTGCGTCAATGTATGCATTTACTGTGCTGTCCTCATGGATAATTTTCTAACTGTAATTCTCTTTCTTCATTTCCTACTTTTTTTCTCCTCTTTCTGTGTTTTCCTTTATCTAATTGTTATGTTTAAATGGAAAACCATATCTTATGGTGGCTATTCTAGAGTCCCACTTTCATTGTCAATATTGAATCCATTTATAAATACAATGGTAGCTTGGTGAAATTTTTGTTCACAAATCTCTGTTTGAGATCTCCTGCCACTTTAGTCATGCCTCTTGAAATAATACATAAACACAGAGAGTAGCTAATAATAGTTTTCAATAGGACAGCTCCCCACTTAAGTTTGGCATGAGTTAAGTTTCTGGTATATCTTAAATGCCATTAGTGTATAGAAGTAAAATATTACCATATTGTTCAAGAGCCGTTACACCCATGCTTTAACCCTATCACAAATTTGTATTTTTCATAAGGTTCAGGTTTGTTAAGGTATTTATCATAACTTTAACTTTTTCTCTTTTAATTTAAAACTATTCTTGATGTATGTTAGAACAGGTGGGAATTTATCAATGTGTGAATTTTCTATGATATCAGCTGACTATTTTTTAATAGTATTTTTCTCCTCCTCTTTTTAGGTGTTATATTAATTCCAGGATGTGCACTTGGCCAGCTTCTGGGAGGTATCATTGTGTCCAAGTTACAAATGTCTTGTAAAGCCCTTATGAGATTTATCATCATTACATCTCTTTTGTCAATTATATTTCTTGTACTTATAATTTTTGTACACTGCCATCCAGTCCAATTTGCTGGAATCAACGAAGATTATGATGGGTAAATACAATTTTGTATATTATATTTTTAAATAAGAAACCATAAGCCTATTTCTCAGGCAATTAATTTTACATCCAGTAATGCTTACATGTTTATATCACTCTTATAATTATTAGGTATATAAAAGAATTATAAGTCACAGTTTTAATTTTCATTTTAAGGTCACACATATTATGAGATCTGGTGATGACTGCTCATTTAGTTATACATTAATAGAGAAAATTCACATTGAAATCACAGAACATAAAAGTAAAATTTTGTGTTAGGACTGATAACAATTAGGGGATGGTACTAACTTCTTTACATGGTAATTTTACCTTATGTTCTTGAATTGGATTGTCTGCCTTCTTATGGATCTCAGAGAATGTATGCAAAGAGAGTATCTCTTTTAAGCCAAATATGCACAAATTCAAAGAACTTGGTATTAATATTAGGATACAAAAACCAGAATTGAAAAGCAAAGGATTGGGAAAATAAATAAGCAAGGAGAATAAAACATCTACTTCAAGCTATAACAAGAGTAGCTAAGGACAGACCAATGCTCAACAAATATTACCAGTGCTATTGGATAGTCACAGGTCATAAAGCATGACTTAAGCTTCACTCATTATACCAAGTTTCTGAATCATAGATTAATGTGTATCATATATTTCAATGAAAAACTTTTAAACTTTTAGAAACAAAGTAGAAAATTCCTAGAGTGTAGAACTAGGTGAAGTGTCGTTAGACATAACAATAAGAGTGTGATCCATAAATAAAAAATCACAAATTAGACTTTATCAAAATGAAATAGTTTTGCTGTGCAAAGGCTGCATGCTAACAAGGTGAGAAGATATGCTATAGAGTGAAGACAGTATTTGAAAACTGAAAATTCATGTGCTTTTACAAGAAGAGAATTAATGTTGGTTGAAAATTCCTGAATACAAGAACAGAAAGAATTAAATTTCATTATTCTATCAAGAAACAAATGGAAAAATATACAATTTTTATGGAAAATTTTTGTTCATAAATTATCATATTAAGATATCTAGAAATAAATCTATCAAAGATGTGCAAAACCTTGATAAAGAAAAATTTTGCTGACATGTATAATATGATATCAAAACAAAAGGAAAACTACAGAATGTTAATATATTTGAAGAAGAAATATAAAAATATCAGTATCCCACAAATTAACATCAGTTCCTTGTAATTCTACTAAAAATCTTTTTTTTTTAATTTTTCTTAGTTGTAGATGGACACAATGACTTTATTTTTATTTATTTATTTTTATATGGTGCTAAGGATTGAGCCCAGTGCCTCACACATGCTAGGTGAGCGCTCTACCACTGAGGTACAACCCCAGCCCTCTACTAAAAATCTTGATAGAATTTTTAAAAACCATGAAAAGCCTTTTTGAAATTATTATTATTGTCAAAAGAGGAAAGTACAAAGAATAGATTATACACTTCCCAAAAGGGGGGTATTGAAAAATATTGAATTTCATTTTGCTTTGATTTCACTTCAAGAAATCTTTATGAAATTAAGGAAAGGTTGGATTTGTGCTTTGTGGCACCAAAGAAGAAAAAATAGGCCCTAATCTCTATCACATGGGGCTAGGCCCCAACTTCCTTAATAAGACACCTATAGCACAAGATCTAAAACCAAAAATCAACGAATGGGATGGATTCAAACTAAAAAGTTTTTTCTCAGCAAAAGAAGTAACATGTGAGGTGAATAGGGAGCCTACATCCTGGGAACAAATTTTTACCCCTCACACATCAGATAGAGCTCTAATATCTTGGGTATATAAAGAGCTCAACAAGATAAGCACCAAAAAAGAACATCAAATAATCCAATCAATAAATGGGCTAAGGACCTGAACAGACACTTCTCAGAAAAGGATATACAATCAATCAACTAAAAATGAAAAAAATGCTCATCATCTCTAGCAATCAGAGAAATGCAAATTAAAACTACTCTAAGATACCATCTCACTCCAGTAAGAATGGCTGAGGATATTCTGAAGACAAACAACAAGTGCTGTCGAGGATGTGGGAAAAAGGTACACTCATACACTGCTAGTAGGACTGCAAATTGGTGCAGCCAATTTGGAAAGCAGTATGGAGATTCTTTGGAAAGCTGGGAAGAGAACCACCATTTGACACAGCTATTCCTCTTCTCAGACTGTAGAATCCTTTCTTTTAGATATTTTAGATATATAGTACGGGATCACTACCTATAGTCACCCATCATAAAATAGCATACTACAACTTCTTAATTTTATGAAAATCCAATGTTGTACCCATTGATCAATCTTTTTATTCTGTCCTTTTGGACAAAGCAAAATGATCAGCAATTTTATTTCACTCATTGCTTTTCATTAAAATTGTTTATTGGGCTGGGATTGTGGCTCAGCAGTAGAGCGCTTTCCTTGCGTGGGCCGGACCCGGGTTCGATCCTCAGCACCACATAGAAATAAAGGCATTGTGTTGTTTCCATCTACACCTACAAAATAAATATTAAAAATTGTTTATAATCCATAAACACAATGGGCAGTATTCACAAAACTTGTAATAGGGTAGAAGATAGCCTAACTAACTTCATTGAGATAAAATGAATTAACCCATTTTGAGAGAAAAAAAAGAATAAAAAAGGAAAAACCAAAAAAGTTTTACAGGATGAATGGTACCCTGTTAGGCATACAAATATCTGCATTGTCATAGTTCCAAGGGAGGACAGAAAGAGAAAAATGCACAGAAACCCTATTTCACACAGTGATAATTGAAAACGTTCCTAGCTTTATGAGAAATATGAACATTCAGTCTGGGAAGCGCAAAAGAATCCCAAATAGATCCAACCTAGAAAGTCTTCTCCAAAGCGCAATATAATTTAAGCTGTCAAAAGTCAAAGACGAAGATTTCAAAAACATCAAGAGAAAATGTCAAGTCATATAATAAGGAATCCCTATTAGAATAGCAGCAGATTTCTCCATAGAACCTTCCTTTTAGGCCAGAGAATAGGATGATATATTGAGAGAATTTAAAGAAAAAAATCCTGTCAGACAAGAATTATGTACCCAGCAAAAGTATTTTTCAGAAATGAAGAAGAAATAAAGTCTTTCTCAAGCAAGCAAAAACCAGGTGAATTCATCACTAGAATTGGCTCACAAGAAATTATTAAAGGAGCTCTATATCTAGAAGTGAAAGAATATTAACTTCCAATAGAAGGAAGTATAAAATTCACTGTAGATATATAAATGAGAACAGGGAAAAAATAAAAACTTATCATTACAGAAAACCACCAAACCACAAAGATTCACAATAATAAAAAAAAATAATGGATATACAAAACAGTTATTAACAGTACAGAAAATATTTATGTTATCTCGTTAACTATCAATAGTTATTGAATGTAAATGGGTTTAAACATCTTATTAAAAGAATAGAATGGATGCATCTGATAGAAGAAAAAGCTTCAATAGATGAATGGATAAAAAAATGTGGCATTTATACACAATAGAGTATTACTCAGCACTAAAAAATGACAAAATCATGGCATTTGCAGGGAAATGGATGGCATTAGAGCAGATTATGCTAAATGAAGCTAGCCAATCCCTAAAAAACAAATGCCAAATGTCTTCTTTGATATAAGGAGAGCAAGTAAGAACAGAGCAGGGAGGAAGAGCAGGAGAAGAAGATTAACATTAAACAGGGAGGAGAGGTGGGAGGGAAAGGGAGAGAGAAGGGAAATTGCATGGAAATGGAAGGAGACCCTCATTGTTATACAGAATTACATATAAGAGGAAGTGATGGGGAAAGGGAAAAAAAAGAAGGGAGAGAAATGAATTACAGTAGAGAGGGTAGAGAGAGAAGATGGAAGGGGAGGGGAGGGGAGGGGGGATAGTAGGGGATAGGAAGGGCAGCAGAATACAACATACACTAGTATGACACTATGTAAAAACGTGGATGTGTAACTGATGTGATTCTGCAATCTGTATACGGGGTAAAAATGGGAGTTCATAACCCACTTGAATCAAATGTATGAAATATGATATGTCAAGAGCTTTGTAATGTTTTGAACAACTAATAATAAAAATAAAAATAAATTTAAAAAAAAAGAATAGAACGGAATCCCAACTATAATCTGCCTGCAAAAAACTCATCTTTTTTGGGAAAGTCACATTTGGTTTCCACACAAATGAAAACCAGAAACAAATAGGAGTAGCCCTACTCATATCAAATAAAACAACCTTTAAGGAAAAGACTGTAAAAATATAAATGTTACTATGTAATGAAAATGGATCAACTGAGCATAAGGTTATATCAACTGAAATGTATATACATACAATACTATACCACCTAACTCTGTAAACCAAATATTATTAGATATAAAGGGAGTGATGCACTCCAATATAATAATAGTTGGGGACTTCGATAACCCATGCTCACCAGTGACAGATCATGTAGACAGAAAATCAACAGAAATTCTAGTAAACTATATACTAAATTGGAATAAAATATAGAAATATTTTTAAAAATTAAAATTGAAATAAGCTATACTATATACCACAGACATTGTAGAACATTTCATCTAACATATACAGAACATGCATTCTTCTTATCAGAGACAACACTATTTAAGATAGACCCCATGTATTTTGTTATGTCACAAAATACAGCTCAAGAAATTTTATATTAATTTTAAAAATTGAAATTATATATATCTTCTTTAAGTACATGAAATAAAACTGGAAATCAATAATAAAAAATATAGAGAATGTCCAAATACATGGGGAAGTAAATTACATTGTTCTGAACAATTAATGGACAATAAATAAATAAATTATAAGGGAAATTAAAAGTTTCTTGAAACAAATGAAAAACTGGAAAAACAATTCCAAAATCTATAGGATAGAGTAAAAATTATACTGAGAAGTCTATAGTAATAAGTATCAAAAACATAGATTTCAAATAAACAATCTAATGTTCCAATAAAAAGACCTAAAATAGCAGGAATAAACCAACAAATGTGAACAAAATTGGTAGAAATAGGGCTGGGCCTATAGCTCAATTGGTAGAGTGCTCACCTAGCACATGTGAGGCACTTGGTGTGATCCTCAGCACTACATAAAAAATAAAAATAAATGAAATAAAGGTATGGTGTTAATCTATAACTAAAAAATATATTTTAAAATGGTAGAAATAAATAATAAAGATCAGATCACAAAAAAATGAAAATGAGACTAAAAAAATCAAAGAAACAAAAAGATTTTGAAAAGAAACTGCCAGAACTTTCAGTATACTGAAAGAGAGAGAGAGAGAGAGAGAGAGAGAGAGAGAGAGAGAGAGAGAGATGCAAATAAATAAAATCAGATATCCAAAGGAGACATTGGAACAGATATCATAGAAATACAAATATTATCAGTAACTATTATAAACAACTATGCACCCACTATTTTTCAAAGTTCCAGAAAAAAAATGAATATATTCCTGGACACATATTACAATAAAATTGAGCCATGAGAATACAAAAAATAACAAATAATGAGATTTAAATCAGCTAATAATATTTTCTCAAAACAGACGAAGTCCAGGATGAGAAGACTTCACTGCTGAATTTTACCAAACTTTTTATTAAGAACTAATGCCAATCTTCTTAAATTGTTCCAAAAAATTTAAAGAGAAAATATACCATGAGAACAAACTACCTAGATGCCCAGACCAGACTTGGATACAACAGAAAACTATAGAAATTCTGAACAAAATAAAAAATTGAATGCAATAACACAGAAAAAAGATAATTCAATATGATCAAATGGGATTTATTATAGGAATTCAAGGAGAGTTTGGTGCATATACATCAATAAGTGCAATATATTACATTAACAGAATGAAGGACAAACAAAATGTTCTTCTCAGTAGATGAAGAGAAAGTATTCAATAAAATCTGACATAGAGTTTTACATATAATACCAAATACATAATCCAGAAAGAAATAAATTAATAAATTGGACTTGATGAAAATTAAAGCCTGCTTTTTGAAAGACCTTCTTTAGGGAACAAAAAAGCAAGCCATAGACTTCAAAAGGACATTTGAAATTCAGATATATAACAAAATATTTGTTTTCTGAATATATGAAGCACTATCATTGCTTAGAAATAAAGAAAAGAACTAGTCAAAATGGACAAAAGAATCAAACAGATATTTCATCAAATGATATACACAGATGGAAAATAACCAGATGAGAATAAAATCAATATCATTAGTTACTAGAAAAATGTGTATTAAAAACACATTTTTTAATATGCTAAAATGAAAATGTTATAACCCTATTGAAGTGTCTCAAGGAAATAGAAGATCATACAAAATGCTGAAGAAAAATGTGGAGAACAATCAAATTTCTTGAATATTGCTGGTAGAACTATAAAATAGCACACCACTTTGGAAATTGATAGTTTCTTAAAAAGTTAAACACCTATAACATGATACAAATGTTTTACTCCTTAATATTTGCCCAAGAACCATGGAGGTATTTTACCATAAAATTTTGAAATAAAGATCCATTGTAACTAATTAAAATAAATAATTTTTTAAACCCAATTTAATGGGAAAAAAGAACCACTGTGTGAAAGAAGCCTAGGAATTTATACATATTGTGTGATTCCATTTCATAAAATCTTAGAAAATCCAAACTAATGAGTAATAACAGAAGGTTGGCCAGCCAAAGTCATGTGTAAAGTAATTATAAATGGGCATAAGGAAACTTTTGGGAGTGATAATTATGTTTGTCAATATGACTACAATGATGGTTTCACAAGCATATGTATCTATCAAAAAATTGCAAATGGTACATTGTAAAATGTGCTTTTTATGATATAAAGATTTTTACCTTAGTACAATTCTTAAGAAAGAAATTATTTCAGTAAGTATATTTTATGGATCTCATTTATATCTTGATATATGCATTAATTATAAAACACAGTATTATAATTATATTAAATCTCATTTTTATAGAACAGGTCAGTTGGGAAACCTCACAGCTCCATGCAATGAAAATTGTAGATGCTCATCTTCATTATATTCTTCTGTCTGTGGAAGAGATGATATTGAATATTTTTCTCCCTGCTTTGCAGGCTGTACTGATTCTAAAATGTTTAAAAACAGAAAGGTAATTTTTAAAATATTTCTTCTTCTCCAGTAACATGTTCAAATTTTAGATAGTCTTTATATTGTACTCCTGGCTCTATAAACTTTCTGGTTTCATGTTTTCCTCATTTTTAAATTTTAAAAAGAAGTAAAAAAAATCTGTTTTTTATTTCCATAAACACAAAAGTCTTATGGGAATTGAGTGTGGAAGAGATATTCCTATGCTACACTCTGCCTCTATACATCCTAATTTTGTGCATTTAAAGCAGTGAGTGATTGCCATTTACCTCCATGATAGCAAAGTGGGAAGAAACCACCCAAGAAGAAGAGCATTTTGTCTTCAAATTTCACGGTTTGCCTCAGTGATATGCTACACATTAGTCCCACCTTGTCAGATCAGGCGAGGCGGCAGCAACCAAAGGAGGCAGATTCTTAAAAAGGGCTGACTAATTAGGCTTTATTGAGATATCACTCCCTGGCGGAACTGGATCAGACCCACAGAATGGACAGGAGAAGGGTCTGAGGAGAAACCTCATGGAAGCTTGACCAGATTGGACTTTTATGGGGCTTACAGCAGGAAGGAAAGGCTTGGGACAGAAAAGGGTGTTTTTAGGGTCTCTTGTCCTGCTGGAGTTGGTCAGGGGAGTTGGCTCAACTCCAGGATTGGCCAGCGGGTCGTGATGATTGACAGGCATTAGTCAGGAATGTCTGATAGGTTTGATTGACAGGCATTTTCACCGGCACCTGATTGATGTTCCTTTCCCAAATGGGCAGCTTTGTTCTAAGTCGCCACCAAGTTGCCACCACCAACTGAACACCACCCAGCCCCCAAAACCCTCAAATACAATCTTTATTATACCAAGGGGTTAACCAGTGCTTCCTTTTGATGACCTTTTGCTCAGATTTTGTTTCTGCCAAGGAATTCAAAATTCCTACTGCATACATTTTTGCTATTTGTCTAATTTTGCATAACACTAACTCACATTTGGAAACTAGTCCTTTAATTGTTTACCAGAATTCACCATACACATGAGAAATCTTATAAAACCTATCAGACATTCCAGAAGTATATTTGAGTTAGAAAAAGTTCATATGGCAGAAATGTAAGTGACTTCAAATTTACTAGATGTTTTCCTTCCTGTCCTTTGGTATTTCGTGAAGTAAAACCATTTTAAAACTTCCATATTTGCTAATCTTTGCTATATTAACATCAAATTTACTATTGTCTGAGCCATCCCCCACCCAGGTCTTACACTCTCATGAAGAGCAGGTGACTACTGCCTATTTGTGGATTAATTTGTTTTTAATCCAAAATTGCATTAAAAGCTTTTTCAATTTTCACCTTTTAAATGTCACAGAATTGGGAGATTGAGAAAAATGCTGCACTAGAAGAATCCATATAATAGCTACCTTCCAAGATTGAAACAAAATAACTTTCATAGCTATATGATAAGTGAGGTAGGAAGAGCCAGTAATGATGAAAAGACTAGAAATACTGATTTTTAGAAGAGAAAAAGAATTAAGAAAAGAAATAGTTTGCACCAGTGCCAAGTGCATCGTGACTTGGTGAGGACAAGCCATTCTCCTCCAGCGATCTGTAGATTTCCCAGTGAGTTTCAGAAAAGCAGGCTCTGCTGTCTAGTACAATTGCAAAATTTTTTTTGAGGTTGTTATGAATGCAATAGTTTTCCTAATTTCAGTTTCAGCAGATTTGTTATTGCAGCATAGGAAAGCAATCACTTTATTTATATTGATCTTGTAGCCTGTACTTTGTTAAATTTGTTTATAAGTTCTAGAAGTCTTATGGTGAAGGTTTCTTTGTGAGAGGGGCTGGTGCCTTCTAAATATAGGATCATGTCATCAGCAAACAGAGATCATTTTACTTCTTTTTCTATTGGCATTGCTTCAATTTTCTTCTCTTATCTGATATTCTAGGGCTAGAGTATCAAGGACTATGTAGAGAAGGAGTGGCAATAGTGGGCATCCTTGTCTTATTCCTGTTTTTAGAGGAAATGCTTTCAGTTTTTCTTGACTAAGTATGATGTCGGCCTTGGGTTTGTCATAAGTCATTTTTACAATACAGAAATAAGTTCCTTCTCTCCCTAGTTTCTCTAGTGTTTTAAACATGAATGGGTGCTGGACTTTGTCAAGTGCTTTTCTGCATTTATTGAGTTAATTGTGTGATTTTTGTCTTTTAACTTTGTTTATGTGGTGTACATTTATAGATTTGTGTGTGTTGAACCAACATTGCATCCCTGGAATTAAACCCACCTATTATGGTATACTATCTTCTTGATGTGTTTTTAAATGTGGTTTGTCAATATTTTATGAAGAATTTTTTTATATGATCAGTGATATTGGACAAAAGCTCTCTTGACTTCATGTATCTTTGTCTCGTTTTGATATCAGGGTGATAACGTTTTCGGACAATGAATTTGGCAGTGTTCTCTTCTTTTCTATTTCATGGAGTAATTTGAGAAGGATTGACATTGGTTCTTTGTTAAAGTGCTGGTAGAACTCAACTGAGAATCCATCTGGTCCTGGGCTTTTTTTTTGTTTGGAGACTTTTAATAGCTGCTTCAATTTCATTGCACTTTATGTTTTCTATATTCTCATGATTTAATTAGGTCATATGTCTCTAGGTATCTGTAATTATCCCTGAGTGTCTAGTTTACTGGAGTATAAATTTTCAGATAGATTTTTATGATCCACTGAATTTCAGTAGTGTCTATGGTGATACTATCTTTTGTTAATTTTGGTTTTCTCTCATTTTCTTTTGGTTAGTTTGGTTAAATGTTTATCAATCTTGCTTATCTTTTTATTTAAAGAACCAATTCTTTGCTGCATTGATCCTTTTGTTAAATTTTCAGATTCATTAATTTTGGCTCTGATTTTAATTATTTCCTGTTTTCCACTGATTTTGGAATTAGTTTTATCTTGTATTCTATAGGGATGGAACCATTGCATATTAGAGATGCAACCATTTTTAATAAGAATGCAATTCACAATAGCCTTCTTCATAACTTTCCCATGTTCATAAATTTAAAAAAAGAAAAAGAGGATGAAAAAGAATCTAAGAACTCTTCTCTTTATGTATATTTCTTAGTCTTTGTTCTTATCTCATACAATTTACTACTTCATGTATTAAATTTTATATTGTTAACATTTTATTCAAATGTGCCATTATTTTAAAGACATTTAAATAATACAAACATATTTTTCATTAAAAAAACTAACCTATGGAACCAACCAAAGTGTCCATCAAAGATGAATAGAGGGGCTGGGGGTGTAACTCTGGTAGAGTGCTTGCCTAGCACACATAAAGCACTGGGTTCGATCTGCGGCACCACCTAAAAACAAATAAATAAAATAAAAGTATAAAAAAAAGATGAATGGATAAATAAAATGTGGTATATATACATAGTGGAGTTTTATTTAGCCAATAAGAGGAATGAAATTATGGTGTTTTGTGGTAAATGGATGCAGCTGGAAAACATCTTGCTAAATGAAATGAGCCAGGCCTAGAAGATTAAGAGTTGAATGTTTTCTCTCATATGCAGAAGTTAAACAAAAATAAGAAGGAAATAAAGGGAAAGAACATCACATGAAAATAGGAAAGAAATCAGTGAAGTAGAGGAAGAGGTTATGATAGGGAGAGAGGAGGCATAAGGGAAGGGAAGAATGGTAGAATGAGACTGACCAAACTATCCTATGTACATATATGAATTCATAGTGAATTTCACCTTTATGTATATCTACAATGCACTAATGAAAAAGAAAAACTATAAATAAATAGAAGAAAGACCAGTAGAAGAACAGGAAAGGGAACACGGGGAGGGAGGATGGTTGGGAAAGAGGAAGTATTAGAGACTGTGTTCGAGCCAATTATATTGCTCTTTTAACTATGTCAAATGAACCCAATATTGTGCACTAACACATTTTTTTAAAAGAACATGCTTAAGAATAAGACTAACCAAAAATATGAAAGCCTTCATCAATGAAAATTACAGAAAACTGAGGAAACAAATCAAACACAAAAAATTTGAAAAACACCTTCAATGTTTATGACTATGAAGAATTGATTTTGTCAAAACAGCCATACAAACAAAAATATCTACAGATTCCAGGTAATCCCATCAAAACTCCAATGATAATCTTCCCCAAACTAAGAAAAAAAATTCGAATTCATATGGAAGAACAAAATATCCAACATTGCCAAAGCAATTATGAGGAAAAACAATAAAGCTAGAGGCATTACAATATTGATTTCAAGTTTTAAATTGATAATTACAGTAATAAAAACAGCTTGATACTGGCATCAAAATAGACACAACAAGCAATGGAGGAGAATGGGAGACGTAGAAACAAACCTACACAGCTACATTTATCTGATTCTTGACAAAGGTGCCCAAAACATTAAAGAAAAGACAGTCTTTTAAATGGTGCTGGGGAAACTGGATATCCACATGCAAACAATTGAAACTTAATCCATATCTCTCAAACTGCACAAAAGTCAACTGAAAATGGTTAAATAGCTAGGAATAAGACCAGAACATGAGCAACTTGTAGAACAGAATACAGGGGAAAGTTCCAACCTATAGGGGTAAATAATGACTTTCTCCCTGGGACTCCTAAAACTCAGGGAATAATACAAAGACTCAACAAATAGGATGGTATCAAACTAAAAAAAGCTTCTGCACAGCAAAGGAAACAAAAGCATGAAAAGAGAACTCACAGAATGGGAGAAAATCTTTTCAAGCTGCTACTACTTTTCTGATGCAGGATATCTAGACTATATAAAGAACTAAAAATATTCAATGACAGAAAGAAAATAACCCATTCAGTTAATGGGCAATTGAACTAAACATATCCTTCTCAAAACAAAAAGTACAAATGGCCTTCTAATATATGAAAATCTATTCAAACATTTAACCATCAGGGAAATGAAAGTTAAAACTACATTGGGATTCCATTTCACTCCAGTCAGAAGGGTGATCAATAAAAATACAAGTAACAATAATT